CTGTCTGGCACAAGTTCTAGCAAAACTTCCAAGTGCAAAAAGTAAGTGGATCACTTAAAATATTTCATCTGTATAAGTCGCTCGAATGAAAATTCCAAAATAAAGAAATTCGATGATATCGATTAAGAAAACGAAAGACAGTAGGACGATATATCTCGAGATCCATAGAATAAATAAAAACGTAGGTAGGTATACTCTCGTCATATAAAAAATTGGCGAAACACGAACCGTGGGTCTGGCGTTAAGAGGATTCTATTTTGCTAACGTAAACGTCCATACGTAATGATATCGAATTTACCTACCGATGGCGCATTGCCATAAATATACAAATTCACCGTGGTCCAGCACAGCATCCAGAGAAGCGGACTCGCTGTGATATCGATCGTCTACTCCACAGCAGCAAATATAATCTTTCATAAGGATGCAAAGTGGCCCGTGCTAATAGATTGGGTATACCAGTGCCAATGGCTAACTACACACAAGCAATAATCCAGGGAACCCACCGGGCCGTTGTAAACACGAGGAATTTCACGGTAAGGCTGACAGGAACGGTCCTACGTTTAGCTCAAAGGTAGACGAAGGGGAATAATAAGCGCCAGAGGAAATCTAGTCATACGCATAGGGTTGAAAGGCACTGAAAGTATAAGGGAGTAAGAAGCTCGGTAATTCGCTCTGCTTTTTCAGCCTGACACCCTACCGTATCTAATGAACCTGACACAGTCCCTTCGCAGTTCCCAACAGGACACTGTATTCACGTCTCTTCTACACAGCAGTGAATTGCGATTACGTATATACACCGTCAGTTATAGATACATACAGTATTGTCACGGCCAAACTATTATGCTGCGTTCCCGTGTCTAACGGCGGCATGAGAGACAAGATAACCGAATTTCAAGTAAAGTCGAATCCGACCGAAAGCCGCTACAAGCGGCTGTAATATGGATTTACAGGCGATTTTAGGTTACAATTTTTCGTGGGTCCCAAAATAAAAAATATTCAGGCATACAAAGGTCCCCTATTTCGAGGAAGGCATGAAAAAAGGGAGGATGGTCCGTCGCTAAGCGGAAGGATGCAAAGCGTCAGAAAGAACTGAAAGAAATTGTACACGGAGGGGCACGAAGAAGGAAAGAAAGAATATACGGACGAAAAGGGACGAGGAGAGGTAAAGCGAATAAAAAGGAAACATAATGGCCCGTACGTTCCGTCTTTCCAGGACGAGTCTTTGGACTCGTTTACGCTCTAAAAACCTTTAGTTTGCGCTACACCACCGGACCAGTAAATGGTTTACATATTAGATACTCTGCGACTGCGGAAGCTCGCATGTGCCAGTTTCAGGCAGGAATCTATAGAGTATCGGAGGGGTTGGCGCACGTATTCACATGTGCGCATATATAGATCCTGGCGTACGTGTTGGGGATTCGTGTGTTGGTAGGGAACAGTGCCATAACAATATCGTATTATTGGTCGATACGAAAGCTTCACGTTTCCATACGAACCGTCCTGCCTGTGTCAGGTGCCATGTGTGACTTTCAATAAAGTCCCAAAGGACTCTTCCTGTACGATTCTATATAGCGATAGGTGGCTATGGCGTTTCTTATTGAAATAACATTTCATACTCGAAATTCAGTGAGAGATGGCAAAGTGGCTACAGTTGACTCACGCCGTCTCTTCGGTACTATTTTGGATGAACGCCGTAAGGGATTGGCAACGGGCGTAACGGATCATCGATGATGGCGCAGCCGGAGGCCCGAGCGATCAAATTAGCGTGCTGAAGATCTCCAAGGAGCCAACGTCGACGAAACGTATACGTGCTTCAAAGGCACCTTAGATAGGTACGTTGCGACAGTCATTAGCCCTGGCAACTGGGCTATTAGTGTTACCCAACTATCCGACGCCTAGCTATACCACCTTAGATGTTTCAAGGTCCCAGTCAAAGTGATGACATAATTTTTTGAAAACATTTTTATATTAATAGACGCGTCGGGAGAAGTCCTGGGTAGGAGCGGTGGATCTAAGGACTAAGGGGAGGTAAACCGGAAGTTTGTATTACTCCGTTATACAGTCTGGACCATGCCAGTGACTTCCGTGTGAATTGGCACAGAGCACTAAATTATTGATACCTGTCACTGAACTATCATTCGTGTTCATTGTCACGCTTTACGTACTGGTCAAATTGCCTGTCACTTTTATCTAAGTGTGTTATATACTCCATTAAGAACAAGAAACGATCAAAGTTCAACTCTGCGAATTGCCCTCGGGTAAGATATACTTGTCCAATTTTTCAATGTCCTCTCACACCCGTCACACCTCATCCAAATCCCAAAGTGAACTTTTAAATTTAGGTACATACCAATTACTCCGCGAAGTCTCGCTAACAGGCCTATTCGTTGTCTGAGTAGAAAAAAAAGGGGAAAAAATACATTGTTACTCGTATGACGAGTGCAAGGGTTGAAACTAGGTTGCTAGAACACGTCGAAGACAATGAATATTCTTTTCTTTCTTTTTTCTAACCAATTTAGCCCACATCGATATCCCCATACTCGTACCTGAAATCAGCGGGCTGTTTAATCCAAAACTAAAATTCATTACGAACATCGAAATTTAATGCACGATCTCACTGTAGTCTCGCCCACGCGTCATTTGCAGTGTTACATGAAAACCTCGTACTCTTCCATCCCTTAGAAAGTTTACAAGGACGCAGCGCAAGGTATTCGTGACGCGAATAAAACAACTATATCCCACGGGAACTTTATTCGTTTCCTTGCACGTATCGATCTGCTGCTGGTAATATCTCTGTCAAGCTGAATTATAAATAGCAATGATAGGGGTGAGAGGACGCGTCACCTAACGCTGTAACTTAATAAGTCCCAACTTGACTGAATAAGAGCTATACTTGGTACACGACGGATGCTAATAAATTAAGCCTGTTAACGGGTTCGTTGCAGTTATTTATATCAAAAAATATCCCGCTACATACACGTCTAAACAATGAGGGATTTTGGAAGCAGTAAACGTAATGATAAGCAAGTAAGCAGAAAAAAAGGAAGATACTTTTTTCTAATTCTAAACTGCCCTGTATATCCTATTGGATATATCTACGACGTTAAACCATGTGAATCCGCCCTTAGCCAATGAACATGGATACGAATGAAGTTTTTGGGCTATTGCATGCTATCCTTATCTCCAGAGTGAAGTAGCAGATGGAAGAAGGGACTGTCTGGGTAGATGCCTAGGGAAAGAGGGTAGAGTATATCCCTAGTAGAGGCTGGTAACCAGAACTGTAATCTTTTGGGGTGGAAGACGCGTTCTACGCAGAGCCACGCACTGCGTAGAAAATCCCTCCTTCCCCCCTGCCGGGGTCGTCGACAATGTGTCTAGCTCCGAACGGGAATCAGGTCAACGGCTAACTCTTCTCGTAGGGATCGTATGTACAAGTCGCGATATCCTTCGTTTCTTTTTTATCCCTATTATTTTCTTTGTTAACCTTATTTTTTTATATATACTCCATTATCCCCCTTTTTTGTTGTTCTATTCAAATAACCGCACGAACATCCATCGTTACAAGGGGGTTGACATCCAATATTCATAAACTTTGCGTGTCTTGACTCTGCGAAGTATGAGTTATTGAGCTGCACGTCACGATGGACACGGTTCTAGGAGACAAGAAGGTCACTTGTACGGGAATCCAATTAAGAACAAGACGGATGTCATTTTAAAATTGTCTGTCGGAATATTGTGTTACGGTTCCTTGAATTTAAAATAACAGCCAGGAGACATATAGATTGTAAATTATGTAAATCGTGTGTAATTTTTGCATTTCGATGCGCAAACCCACTGTAATTTCACTTGAATGGGAATTTATTTGAAAATAAATTACATCGAACAATGAGCGTCCTCAGGTTTTATTGGCAGATAACGTTTGAGGACTAATTAACTCTGATTGGATTTTACTACAGCGCCGATTACTTGGACGTTTTTAAAGGGTAGGTTGTAAAAATGAGGTAAAGCGTGAGTGAGATGGATCTGAGTTTTAGTGACAGTTTTATAACAGTATTTCAGTGTTATATTGTATTTTAAGTAATATGAAAATTATGTGTATACGCTTTCTCCGTGTATCACGCAATGTGAATAGACGGAAGTATGGAATTTATCAGTGAACGAACTCATATCAAAATTGTATAGCGTCGTTAAGGTCACTTGGTCTAAACTTCCGAAACACGAAGGTTTAAGGAATTTCGATATGAAAATTTGAAACTGCCGCTCACTCTGGTGTTATAACTCTCGAGACGCTAAGTTCGTTACATGGCGATTCCCAAAACATCCATCATATTTTTTGGGTTCCTTCCAATAAGTGTTCTCCAAGAGGCGCGAAATCGTCACTAGATTCAAAATGTCGGTATGGCTGCAAACATTCTGCATCTACTCGTGCATAGAATTTATATCCAACAGTTGTCGCCTAGCGTGGCAGTTCAGCCGACTGGCAAGACACGCATTTACCACTAGAATCCTGGGCCAATAGAGCGCCAAGAATTGAACGCCAAGTCTCAAATATTTCGTACGTCTAGAAAAGTCAAGTTCTAAACGAGTCGTCATTGTGCATCCACAAAAGGCATGTGACAACGGCATAGAAAACTGCGCGCATTCAAAGTCCCAGCTAGCGACTCGCAATATAATTCTCATGCCATACAAGGACTGAATGTAGAGCAGGATTTTGCAGGTGACAAAACTCATAAGGCCACGACATCTTAGGAAAGACGATAATGGGATTGGTTGGAATAGAAAGAAACAAAGGGTGAGAGGTCAAGTAAGAGAATTAGAACAGCCAACCGTGATAATAGGAAGTCCGTTACAAGACTAGATAAGAAAGAAAAAAAGGGACAAGGAGAGAAACATCGAAAGGGAAATAAAAGGCTGAAGTAGGCCAATGGTAAATAAAGTGTACAATCTTAAGTAAGAATAATAAAAATGAGAAGGGAATTGATTTTTTTGAAAAAACTTACAAGGATACGTCCAGTGGTGGTTTGCCCGGATATGAGCTCGCCGGCCCAGTCCTTGGCCTCGGTCATGAAGGTCCCCTCGAACTCTTTGCCCTGGCGGGCCGCCTTCTGCTCCTTCTGTTTGGGGTCATTGGGAGCGAATTCGGGTTCCTTGCGACAACAAAGGAAGGCGAACGCCCGCCAGAGGAGGACGATCAGCAATCCGGCGAGGAACGTGAAGATGCTTGAAAGGACGAAACACCACCATTTCCGAACCTTGAGGCAGTCTTCTACCGGAGACTCGGTGATCTCGTCGCACGTCATTCCGGCAGATCTCTGCCTCCAGGTCACACATTCACCGGCACTGACCAACCAGTAGTCTACATTTGATACGCTTCATAATTTGTTTGGGGTTTTAACGCGGACTTATCTTCCTGCTTCGGAATCTATCGTTAATCCCCCACTAGCACACTACGAAGGGAAACACGAAGATGCGCTCCGCGCTTAACCTATCGCCTCACCACCACCGCGCCGATCACCGACGACCAAGTGTCTCGACGACCATACTACACCGCAGCAATCAATACGCAACAATGGACCGGGACCAATAAGCTCGGAGCTTTTCCTGACGTAGATGCTGCCCTCGAAGTACCGAAATTCGACGTCGGGGCGCTAGTTCGCGACGCTCCGTAGCCCGATAAAGCTCGACGTGACGGCGCCGGCGTCCCTGCTTTCTACATCCTGCGCTTGTACGTTTCTCCTACTTCTCTCACTGTTTCCCCTACCTATGGCTTTACGCTTCTTCGACTCCAATACGCCACCTTCTTTTCTTATTTTCATTACACCACAAGCTCTCTACGACTTGCTACCATTGATTCATCGACTCATCTTATTAAACATGGATGTAAATTAATCTTATGGGAATGAACTTACGGATTAGTAAGGCTTTTGGATATAGTTAATTGGATATCAGGGATATTGAGATGCTTTATATCTAACCCCATGGCTATCGAATTGTTATAAACAGTTGGGGTCTTATAGAACTGCTTTGAACTAGTCCGTACTGCTAGACACAAATTTCCAAGAGTATTGTTATTATGAATCAGTTTCCAAACAACTTTGTATTTATATTAATTCATTGTATTGATTTGTTATTGGTAGCAGTATTCAAATGTGTCGATGTGTGATACAGTGAAAATAAATACGTATACACAATATAATATTTATTTGAAACGGTTCGACAAGTATGAAAATTTGAAATAACAGTTACAGCATTGTGTATAGTAATCCCACATTCGTTCAACAATTGATTGGTTATCATGTTATAGTAATCAAATTTTCATAATCATATGAACTTATAAGACCAGAGCATCTAATAATAAATTATTACTTCAATTTATGAAGGCATCACTTTCATGACTGCTCTAATTACCAAAATTTTCGTTCATGGACTGCCTCGTAAATTGATAAGCAAGTATTAACAAACAAACGGGATTGGTTAAATCGCGTGGAATATTTCCAACAGACGAAAAGTTAAGCTGACGCCCAAGGGGTGGTGATGCTGAGTACAGTCAAGTACAGCCGGTAGTGGACAAGGGTACTTAACCAAAGACTACTTCATGGGCTAAATGAGTTACAAGCTCTAGGTCCATAAATATGTCAATGACATTTTAATTTGAATTCAATAGAAACTTTTGCAGTTTAATTCGTTGATTGAATTTGAATCCAGGTGGTTTTTATCTGGAATTATTTTATGTTATATTTTATCTTATTTTCTGTTGCCGTTAAAAAATGTATGTCTAGGATCTGCACATCAAAATAAATAAATGTATTTGAAAGAGATGGGCACATTATCTTTTAGTTAAAGATATAAGTTGTAGAAAATAAAATATTCATTTAAAAAAAAAGTATCAATACAGGGTTTCAGCATCTTTCAAACACTTTGTACATATCAGGCAAACTTGCTATTTGCAATATGGTGGAATCATGAGCAAAATGTTTTGGAGGCAATAAGCTTTCTTTTATGGCAGGATATAAAATATGCTCAGTTACATGTTTCCAGTCATGAGTTTCATCATTTGGACTGACACAACCAAACAATTTTGCAGTCTCTCTACAAATTCCTTGAAAACAAGGCTGTTCGGTTGTCCAATCCACTTCAGTTGCTAAGCGTAATATGTACAGTGGGAGTTCAGCTTCGTATGGGAAATATTTCTCTGAAAATGAATCGTATTATTAATTAAAACATGGGAAATTTTAGGTCATAATAATTATGATGATATACAGACCGAGTAATATCGGTAAAGATTTCAAATATCCTTTTTTGTCAATTACAATAGAAAAGTATTCCTTCAACATATCTGCCTTTTCTAATAATAATTCCTTTGCGCTAGTTGACAAATCCTCCTTTTTACCAACTTCTTCGGTCCATCCAGCTTCTTCTGTTTCTAAACCAAGCATTGCTAGATCGTATAGTGATAATGGATCCTTAAGTATGAAAAGTTAAACTTCATTATAAATTCGTATAGTATAATATGAAGTATGCGTAACAATTCTTAACCCTTTTGCTATTGTAGACTACTATAAAAGATATCGCATATTCGCAATGTTCAGCTATTGGCAAGTCTGCTGAATGAACGTACATTGCAGCAAAGGATTAACAATTATGAGATGTACAATATTATTTACCGAAAATCTTATAACTCCATAATTTGCAAAGTCGTAGATCATAATCTCGTAAAAAAGCTCTTCGCTAAATGAACAGAGATACCGTTAATGAAAAATATTTTATGCATTATCAAGATCTTCAAAAAAGCAATACCTACGCCAATTTTTGAGTATCACAAATATAAAGATTAACTCCACTTTGAATGAGAGCAAATTTTTCGTTGACGCAGCCGACAAATATTAAATTTGATAAAATCTCTCTGAGTCCTTCATGATAATTATCTTCTACTTCCTTTCTCAGTGTTAATACACTCATCAATTTTACTTCCCTCATGAAATTATTAACTGAATAGGATTTGAATTCTGGTGTAGATTTAGTTTCTATTATTTTCGATGATGAACATTTTTCGGGTATTGTACACAATACATCTTTTTCCTGCTCTTTTTCCTTATTAGCTTCAGCACCTGACTTTTGTGAACTACTGCTCTGTGTATGTGGATTCCCCAAATATTGATAGACCTTTTCAAGGGCTTTCTTTGCTACAGGATCGCAACAATCATCCATTGTTGTGTCTTGATTAACAGAATTATCATCTTTGGTCATATCAAAATAACTATAATTTGTCTTAGTTTCTTTAGAATTCTCTTTCTCTTGATCTGACAGATCAGATGCAACTGCGCAATCTCGACCATCACTTAATTTTGATGTTGATTCAGAAGTACTTGCATTATTTAAAATTGCACTCCACTGTCCTTGAGATTCTTCGATCGGGTTTTGGCTAACGTCTGTCAAATCATCGTCAGTCGGATGTGTACGTGTAGAACTTTCATTTAAATTGGTGAATTCGACAATATCCTTATTATTTATCGGGTTTGAAATATCACTGATATTTGATACTGTACGATCAGTTTCAGTGGTATTAGTTTCCACACAAAGTGATGCATTTATATCTACATTTCCAGATTCCTTCGCAGTATCGCTATTAGTATGGTTAATACCTGCATGAATCGTGAAATTAAATTTATCCAACTTTTGTTCGGATGAATCTGTTCTGATCATTTCTCGTGCGTGTATCTTTTTCGTTTTATCTAAACGATTCTTATCATATTCAGGTAAAACTTCTTTAAGAGTTTCTTTGGTAATGTCCACTTTTGGAAGGCGAGCTTGTAAATAAAAAGTTCTCGCAGCACTGTTACTGGCTAATTTCTCATCGAGTGCAATTTTCATCTTCTCCAGTACGGAATCTTCATGAAGAAATCGAACTTCGTGTTTAGTGGGGTGAACATTGACGTCGATGTTGCTTGAATTTATTTCAAGAGATACATAACACCAAGGATGTGTCTTCTTTGGAAGATATATCGAGTACAAATCTTCTAGCATTTTTCTAATAGCTGAAATACATATATTGATAAATGAACACAATTAAAGATTCATATTAATATATTTATTCATAAAATACTAACGAGTTGAATCGACAAGTCGATGATTAATGAAGAGCAGTAGTGTCATCCTTTTTGCCGAATAATTTGGATTCGTCACGAGAGCGTGCATTTTGAATTTGTATGTCACATCTTCTAGATCGATTTCAAGTAACTCTCGTGCAACTGGATTACCAAAGAGAGTTCGAATATTGTTCATATGCGTCGAATTATATTGGGTTCGAACCTATTCAAACTACTAGATAAATATAAAGAGTAAAAAATGAAAGAGAACATAATTTTATCTCCTTTTACCTGTGGACTGACTTCACCATGTTTCTTTAGTGTAAAACTTATTTTTGGATTGTGAATTGCATATCTTGTAACAACTTCGCTAATCTTAGCAAATTCTTCAGCTGTACTTGCGAATGCTTTTCGTCGAGTAGCAACATTGTAGAATAAATTTTCTATCGTTATTGTTGTTCCCTGATTTCCAGCACAGGGCTTCAGTGGTGCTTTTAACTTTCCATCTATGTAAGAACCCCTATGGATAACACTTATCAATTTATAACAAGATTCTCATATTAGGACAAGTTTAATATTTCTCATAGCTTTTCTCCACATTTTAAAACATAATTAACAATGGAACAAATTATCAATGCAATTAATAAGTTATCATTTTTGCAATTATTGAATTATTTATTTTTATTTAATGCAAATTATTTTATTTCTCTTGGGTAACGTCTATGAGAAAAGACTTTTTTGAAAGAGTTTACATTTTGCTCAAATATTAGAATATGATATTACTTACTTATAAGCACATTTTTCATCAACTGTTTTTGTAATAATAGTAAGAAGCGCTACATGGCTTATACTTGCTAAAGCTTCTCCACGAAACCCAAATGTGGATATCGATTTAAGGTCTTCAAATGTTTGCAGTTTGCTAGTTGTAAATCTTTCACAAACAATTTCCATATCCTCTTTTCGAATACCTGTACCATTATCCTGAATCTATGAAGGATACACGTTAGATCACAATGAAAAAATGTTGAACGTTCTTAATTCATACCTGTAATAATTTTAAACCACCATCCTTAACAGTAATTTGAATATTAGTAGATTTAGCATCAAGGCTGCAAAGATTCATTGTATATTGTTAAATATGAAATTAGAAGATACATATTTGAAACATATAACCTAAACTAACCTGTTTTCAATTAATTCTTTTAAAGCATTGGCTGGCCTTTGTATTACTTCCCCAGCAGCAATTCTATTGACAACTACTTTATCGAGCTTTTTAATTTTTGCTGGAGTGTTCATTTCTTTATTCTTACTAAATACCGTGTATGTCTACAACTGTGATATTTGTCCGTAACGAGGTTAAAATCAATTCTTTTCGCGCGCAATATTTTCAAACCAAGGGTACGTTCGAAAACACACTGGCTGTTTTTCTTTTATTTATCAAGGCACTTTATGTTTCATTTACGGCTTTGCATGTGTGTGTTTCAGCTTGATGCTCTTTACCCATTGATCATATCTACTACTTTTGGTGCGCGAGTCCAGGAGCCATAAATAAAATACAGGTATGTCGATGTACATCGGGCTATGTCGGTAAAAGAAAAACACCCACTGATATTCTGAGTGCATAGTTTCGCAGTATTGCATACAGGTAAACAGGAACCCAAGGATACTCACAGTACTTGACAGTACATTTCGAAACGTATCCTTAGTAGTTCAATTGGCGTTAATCACAGCGCAAGTACTCCAGTCCTCGTGTTTATAACATTTTTTTATTAACACTAGAGCGACACGCGCGTTTTCGCGCGCAATTGGAGGTCCGTTTGCGCTGTAAGGCTTTGAATACAAATTTATTATCCCACACAAATAACGTATACTGACATTATCCAAAGGGTCGTTTAATTATTTTATTAAAATTTATTAGCAGGAGATTAATTTCCGTTTTGTCTGTCGGTCGCGATTTTAGTATATTTTGTTCGCTTTCCTGATAACGCTGCAAGACGTCACTGACCTTTGAGCATTTGCGTGGGTGGAGAAATCCTATGCGTTGTAGGGAGGTCGGAGGGGTATTATTTTGGCTCTGGGCAAAGTAACTGCCTTTGCTTGTGCTCCTAGGTTAGCTTCACTTGAAGTAGTATTTGTGTCTGAGTACTTTTTGGCTTAAAGTCACACTTTGTCGAAGAAGAGGGACTTACGTATTTAAACTTATCTTTTGCGTTTTTCTTTGTCGCTCAGCTTCGCTTCCCTTCGTTTTTGAGGTTTTTCCTTCGCATCCTGAGCGCAGTGGTATCAGGACTCGGTTTTTTCCCTCAATTTCCAAAACACGGCCTTCTGTTGCGTCTCGGAGGGGTCATATTTCCCTCGTAGAGAGGTAGAACCTTACCGAAATGGGCGAGGAGGGGCCCATTTCACAATATCATTTTCTACATTCTTCATGCTCTGTACAACTTTGAAACACTTCTCTATCATTTCTTCCCGCGAGTTATCCATTCATACATCAATTGTCTAATTGTAAGTTGAAATCCTTGTGCAACGAGTGGCGGCAACTGGCACTACGAAGTTTCTCTTACATTTTACTCGGATGGTAAATGAAAGGTCCATAATTTTTCTCAAGGTATGTATGTACACCTCACTTTGAATTAATCACCGAATAATTATCGTGTTGTTTTTCATCGTCATGTTTTCAGTATTTATACTTCTATTTTCATTACTGATATAATAAATTCTGCCTGTATTTATCGAGCAGTTTCTCCCACGTTTCCCTAGATAGAGCCATGCGACAACTTCTCGATGAAGTCTAGTTAGAATATTGTAATTGCATGAAATTCTTAAGTTTATATTATCCACACATAATTTTATTTTCTTCAAGTCTATGTGATTTAGTTGTTATAAAAAATAACTTCCAACCAATCTAGCATTGTGCACTTTCAAACACATATGTTACTAACGGCGTATCTAAATTATCATTACGTCCCAAAAATAAAATCAACCTGCATGCTTGTACTTTGCCGAGTGATAAAACCATTTAATTTATATAACAAAATAGGTACGTGACTCATCTGTCATCCAATATTACATCACGGAATTCATAACGAAGTGAAAGGAAGTAAGGACCAATGGATAGAGATCAAAGGCCACACTATAACCACAAAATGATGGACAATGGAGCCAGAAATTGGTGAGTGACAATTCCTTATATTTTTTTCTGACAAAATGAAGAAATTAGAATAACAAATGAAACGGTGAATACAAATGTCCAATTATTAAGTAAATATATATGTCACTGCTTGAAAAGTGTCTACAGCAATGTAGATATGTGTACAAATTGTCGTCGAAAATTATTCATAATTCACACTTACTATACTCATATAATAATCTAGTACTTTGTCAAACAAACTGAAGATCGACTGCTATAATTATAATATCAATTCATTAGATCTATTAATTCCACGTATTACGTTTATCACTAACATTCCAAGTAGCACAAATACCAAAGTCATATTAAACGCGGACAGATCTATAGGCAAAACGTGTCCCATAAGTCGACTACCAACATGGAATACGCCCTCAGAGGTCTGTAAGGGTTCAGACGTCTCAAAGACCTCTCGTAATATTTATCCCTGCAATGATTATAAAACGCGATTATAATGCTTGTAAAGTTTCAAACGTCTCGTGGATCAATTTATCCGCGTTAAATAAGCCCGCCAATGTCAGCGCTGCTCGAATAATATATAACCGAGTTCTGTAAAATTCCAATATCTCCATTGGCAGTCGCGTCGACGTCGAAGGAGACGATAAATTACGTAAATCAAGTAATGATAATTATTTCGTCAGTGTTACCCTTTCTTGTTTACTACATATCCAATATTCCATTCACTTAAACGTACCAATAGCTGTCAACCAATCACTCGTAGCTTTACGCTTATCCATTAATCACATCCCTGTACATGGTAACCCTGCAGTAACAGCTGAAACAGTACCCTGCACACGCAGCATATTATACGCGAAATTGACCATCTGCCTCCTCATACTGTTTAACCTATGGCGCGAAAATCTTCAGGTCGAAATGCACGTTAAACCTATAAATTGCATAGCACCACACTGTGGTACTACGCAAAAGCATCTATCTCGCTGAATGTAAAATTTCATGACCTATGCGAGTAATCGAATCTTTTGATAGAATTAAGTCGTCCAAGTGAAATCGAAAGTCGTGTCGCTTAAATTTGTCTCATTAATATGCACGCAAATCGACTTATATTTTGCATCATTTTAATACGTTTAATTACCTTACGCTCTTCCACGAGCTGAACAAGCACAGGGCATCTTGTAGCGTTACTCAAAATGTTATTTCGGGCTGAAGTTTTAATATATTCCAACCGCACACCTACGCGACCAAATACACGTAATCAATTTTTCACGTGGCTACTACTTGGAAGTAGAAAATAATTGAATTGATATTTTGCCGTTGTCATTTGGGAAATAGTGTATTCTTTTTTGTGTAATTCAATATATTGCCTATTTTCTTACACATATATTACAAAAGGTATCTTCGAATTTTATAAATTCACCCTAGATCTCGATATCTTGACTCACGCGCAGTAAAACGTTCACAAGATATCATTTCACAACGAAGATTTGATATACGGATATTCCTCGTCGAAGTAAATTAGGTTTTCCTTCCTCTTTACTTCTCGGTGCCTATTTAATCGTGCAGTTGTTATCGAATAATAGGGACTCTTCGTAACTGATCTTACGAAACAGGTATACCGCGTGAGATAGTATTACGAAGCACGTGACTTCAATACGTAACGAGTAAATTGGTTTAAACAGATAATTTAAAACACCATAAATATATTTTATTACACGTTGCTAAAGTATCGTAATATCAATGAAAGTGGGAATTTGAAATTATATTGAAAAGATCGAAATGATATTTTGTCCATATACCACATACGAAAATTACCATTGGCAAGTATTTAAAGAAATAGCAGATACAAAACTCATTTTGTTTATGCACGTCAATTTCTGTTATATGATATATACATATACGTATATCGTATATACGATATACAGCAATCCCGAGTATTATCGAGTAGTACATGAAATCCCGAAAAGTCAAGAGTAGCCGAATCCGGGGTATCTGGTTATAGGATTTACCGGCAGGTGGCTTGTATTTAGGTTATGCATACAAGAATGGCTTAATACGTACTGTGTATGTTATACAGCAATAGTCGATCGTTCTCTATAAACAAGAGAAAATCAATCCTTGAAACTTCTCGGTCAAAGGTCACAGTCGAAGCAACCATCAACTTCAGAATTAACTAATGTCTAAACTAGACTCCACATACGTCGTTGGGAAATCCGATTAATATAAATATAGCTATATATATGGATTATATAATATAATAATGGATAATATATGGATTATTTAAGTTGGTACTGCTGTTCTGTCGAATTTAACACAACCAACACGTCCTTGAGCAATCGATTCGCCGTATAGCAATTCATTGAAGCCTCAGCTGAATCTGCTAAATATTTACCTGATACGAGGGAATTATTTGAGGGTGATATAGGGTGAATCGAAGGGGAACAGAAGAAGCTGGAACACGGCGGCTTTTCCTAATATGTTTACGAGACATCTTTAATTCTTCTAAGAACAGGGTGGTTCCTCCAGTAGGGATTCTGAGTTGACGTCGAAATGTCATCTGTTAAAGAGTCAAGGACTGTACGTGAAAAAGGTGGATTGAAATTTTTTGTTAATTAGGAAAATAAATAGACGACATAATTTGACGTTATGAAAAGAAAATATCCAAGTTCCGTTTTATCGAAGTTTCATACATATGCAGTCTGATCCCGAACTTGTTCAGAGCTCTTCGGCGCTACTGTCTTTCGCGTGCATATCAGGCCAGTGATTATAGAAAACGGGAAATCATCAACGACAGTGTTATTCAATTGTTATGAAATGTAATTACACAATTATTTGAAAATTGTCGTTTGGCGTTTAGAATTGATTTCTTAGTATTTCTTTAAAATAAATTCAAATCTGACATTTGAAAATTGAGCGATATGCTGTCATCCACCGATAAGTTGTCTCTGCGTAAGCGACTTTCATTGTCGCTTCTAGGGTGTCCTAGGGGTTGGCATACCCTGGGTGGAGATACGCAAGTGACTTCCTCCGTTACGCGATTTACATATTCTATTTGGCGAAGCGGTTCGTGCAATTTTTTTTACCGCTTGAAATACTGTTAGGGCTCAGGTGTTATATAATGTTGAGAAATATTTCGGCGCTCGTGCGAATGGATTTATCATTCTATCTGTCGGCGACAAGCGTCGGGGTCTGATTATGACAGTTGAAATCATACTACTGAATTGTATTGAAATTCGTAAGCTTATATAAATCATAGAGTTATTTGCAATTATATCTACGATTCGTATACGGTATTATAACCAAAGTTATATAATCTTCAAAATTATTGTTTCACCCAATACATTGTATTAAAAGGAACGTAACTGTATTACTTCAAATCTCTGTGTCGCTCATAAACTTTATATTATAAATAATCGATGAGACGTAGAGAACGTTCGAATATCTCCATACCGTAAGAGGAATAATGACCTATTTCTTTAAGGTTGCACTAAGGCGGTTTCCATTGATACTTAACAATGGAGAAACATGTCATATAAATGCATCGAGACTGTTGCTATTGTGAATTTGCTGATTCTGAACTTTACGTATACGTGAAAGAAAACTTCTGAACGAGATAAATAGTGTGGAAAATGAATACGAGGGAAGTTAAAAAATTTGTTGGAGACCAATAAATGACCAGAACTAGTGTTAAAGTACATCAGAAAGTATGGAACTATGCTAGATGACAAGTGTTTCACGAACCTGTAGGGGGCTGGAGAGGTAGGGACTCGTGAAAGCTTCTTGTCGGTTCTTCGGGATTACGAGCAAGGGGTTACCTCAAAACGTCGTACGAGAGGGCCGCCGGCTCTGGAAGCAATCCTGCATAATTTAACATGGACACGAACCGTCAAAGGTTCTAGAAGGTTCTCGATCATGTGTGATTTCTACAATCGGAAGTAAAATTATTTGAATCCAAAATAAAATTCCTGGAATCTGCCTTCTATTTGTGGAATTAATGATCCTCGTGACGTCACTCCTTGAAATCATGGGAGTTCACGACGTTATTTCAGCATGGATGCGAATCTTCGAAGGCTCTCGAAGTATCGGTAAATGTCGGTGCAGGAATCTGTATCCAGAATTCCCCTTGTTATACTACTAGATTATAAAATTTGATGCAATCATTCGTAAAGTTTGCATCTCATTCAAACTTGATTAAAAGATACATATTCTGAAGTTTCTATACGAAATTTGATCTATATCGAAAATTACATGGTATCTGTCGATTTCGAGACTCGTGAGAACCGGTCCTCTCATATACATATACCAATTGTAACTACGTGCAAGCGAAATTTCTGTCGTCAATAATCAGATTCATGGGTTTTCGTTAAACAGAACGATAGCTCTTATATCGATCGTCCATTGTATGTATATTTCCATTGTGGAAACAATGGCTGACCTGAAACAGTTCGAAATTCACAGAAAGAGTGTTGTAGCAACCTTGTACTACCGTTATGACCTGTCAATCCCCTGTTGTCGCGTATGCTGTTGCTACCATCGGGAGAGAAAGTTCCAAAATCATTGGTCGCCAATGATTCACGATAGCAGCTGTAGGAACATGTAACGTCGGCGACAGTTCGAATTTTGGATGTGACAGTTTCTATTCCCATAATGCAATGTATCAATGAAATGTAACTTCGACATTTTGAAATAGGCCAAAAAATGTTCTGTCAATATTCGCTAGAACGTGTCATCGTTTGATTGATTAAAGCTTATGAATAGCTTGAGCCGCAATGGAATGTATTGTTTATTTCTATACTGGGAAAAAATGTATAAAGAAAGACAGCAAGAGTGGACTTATGCGAATTGAAGTAGATATGTCATATGCCTGTTGCAAAGAAAACATAGGGTACAATTGGATTTTGCACTCTTATTTATATAAAATCCTATGCCAGGAGGTATGATAGAACATACAGATGTAGGAGGAGAGTAGAAAAGATGAAAAATTATAGAGTCGAAAAACTCAGTATACATTTATTTTCAATATAAATAGGTGACAAGTATGTACATCCTAGAGCGTGTAGTAGTAGACTTGATGATTATATAAAAACAAATTACCAGGCGTAGTTAGCACCAAGACCGGTGAAGGTAGCATGGGCAATTGGAGCGCCAGGGGCGTATCCGTAAGCTGGAGCGGCGTAAGCGGCCTTGGCCAAGACAGGGGCGCCATGGGCAGCGTAACTGAGGGCAGGGGCGGCATGGGTAGCGTAGCTGAGGGCAGGGGCGGCATGAGCAGCGTAGCTCAGAGCTGGGGCGGCATGGGTAGCGTAGCTGAGGGCAGGGGCGGCATGGGCAGCGTAGCTTAGAGCTGGGGCGCCGTATGCAGCCTTAGCGACGAGCGGGCTGGAGATGGTGGAGTAAGAGACGGCGGTGGCTGGGGAATATGCGGCCTTGGCTACGACGGGGGCGGAGGCGTATCCGTAAGCTGGTGCGTGTGCAGCGTAGCTTAGAGATGGGGCGGCGTAGCTGACGGGGGCAACGGCGTGATGGCTGATTAGGGCATCGTTGGTGACACGGCTGTTGCTCACACGGACGGATGAGTGTGGGGAGTCTACTGCCTTGCTGTAGGAAGACACGACGTTCTGACCGGCGTAACCCTTGTGGGTGGATTCTTGGGTGTATCCGACACTACCGTAGTCAGCGGGTGCAGTGGCGATGCTGTATGCAGCCGGTCCACCGGCATGAGCTACGGCCAGGAGGGCGGCAAGGGCTACAAACTGAAAATTAAAAAATTAATTAATTGCATTATAGACATATTTTTCGAAAACTTGTTACACAATCTTCAGCGAGAAACAGGTGTCTCTGTATTTTTATCATTACCGAATAAATGGTACCGTTAACATTAGTTCCCTTTATCAACAAATTTCTTTCTCGCTGTACGCTCGCTTACCTTGAAGGCCATTTTTGAAGTTGCTTAGTTAAGAGAGCTGGTTAGATCTGCTTAATGGTAACCCCTGTCCCGGTATATATACAAATCGACCCCCACGATCTGGTCGATAGGCTTCGATTAATATCGCGGTTCAGTGGGAGAACGGGATATTTTGGGCCACTCGTGTTTTGACACGCGCTTGTTCCGTAAGTTACAAGAGATTTCAGGAGGGGCTCAAATGTTCTCCTCGGGGTCCAGAGGGGCCTTGAGGGGCAGGGGGGTACCCCCTGACGCCAATCTGGACCTTTTGTGAAACTGATGGTGAACAGCGGGGAACAGGGAAGCAATTTGAGGCGTGGTCTCCGCGACGCTAAATTTACGATCGACCTATGTAGAGCAGCACTCACTGCTTATTAGGAAAGGCGAACGTGTAGTAGATTACGAGAATTACACGCGTGTAATCTGTCCTCGCGCTGGTGTATTATCTTGAAGGTGCTGGGTATATAATGTACGGATTTATACGTATATTCTAAAAATTATGTGGCAATTCCTGAACAATTACCTTTGCTACCTTGACGTCATGTAACGTTGCGAACAAAGGTCGTGCTAGTTTGACGTTTTCTTAATTAACTTTACTCGTGTGAATTTTTATTTTTATTATTCTCATTTCAAGTATGGGATCTGTACGCTCGTGGTGCAAAATCAAATAAATTGTGTGCAACGTCTAAGAGACGAAACGTGCGTAATGGTGACGCAAGAAAAAAAAGAAAATATTCCGTTATCGCAGATTTATCTTAACCAGTCACCAATTGCACAACGTTCGTTAACTTTCTTTTGTGCTCACCGCATCTGACAGCTGTAATTCGGACACGTATATTTAAATGCAATGTATTAATTTGCGTGTGTCACTTTTTTTCACGTCAATATCAAATTTCCACAATAACAAAAGTAAACGTCTGGACTTATTGCATCGTGTCGCAAGACAAAACTCTATTAACACGTAGAAATATAATTCTCGTAAAATCATTGATCTAAAATGAATCAGAAAAAGAATCATAATACTCGAATAAATTAGTTTTAACGCGATACAAAGTAATTAGTCGCAGATTGATTTGTTCGGCAATATCTAATAAAACTTTAATTTCCTACCACCTTCTATTGTCATGAAGGTTTGGTAGCATCGAAAAAGCAGAAAATATTCTTTCATATCGAGACCTTATACCTTTTTCTTTTTTCCCTTTAAAAAAATTCCCAAAAGAACAGAGTGAGTATGCAATTAGGTAACCTTTTGCGGATGGAATAGAAGCACGACGACAAAAGGCTCTTATCCATCCAGCAACCCCGGTCTCGGTTGATCCATAAGGGATTTCAGCCACTTCTTCGCCATTAATGTCACGAGCAGTCTAATGCATAGGATCCCATGGGGATATAATAGCAGTTAATTGTATTTCGGAAGTAAAGTTACTCGTGTATAATTGTCATTAATACGATTCCGTTCGCATCAAAGACGCGGCGGGAGGTTCAAGAAAATTCTATCAAGATCATTCGACGAACTTTCATCTCTGTCGAGGTGCGATAACACGGTGTCGGATACTTTTACGTTTATACATACATAGAATTCTGTGCCAAACACAATGGACTGGGCGTGATTTATTCATGGATTCATATTTCACTTCTCGTGCTATTCGACAAGGGTGTGATTCTCTGAACTGGAATACATTTTGTGCAGTGTGTGCCAGGAGCGTGAGTATTCGTCGAAATAAAAGAAAGGATTCCGTAACTGGTCCAAGGTAACCAGACTGCGATGCCACGTATAAATACCGAAGGGAACTCGGCGACGTTCTCAGATGCAGTACAACACGTGTATGGTTTACCGACTGTTACCAATAGGAGAAAAGTAATAGTAGAATATGAATATATCATATCTCTTTGTGGATTGTCAGTATGGCATTAGAAAATTGTTATTATTATTTTGTATGTTACTTTTTTTTTTCTACATCGAACTGCCAGATTATCCAATACACAGATTTGAGAGTTGATTTTTCTGTCATTCACTCGTGGACCAGTGAAACGAAGTGAAAGGCTTTTGAGATAATCGATAGTGTAGTAATACGTATATAGATCGATTAATCACTAGCATTTAGAATATCGTACATATAACTAGGTATCCAGTGACTTTTTAGATGAGCAACAACGCACCTGTTGTCCACCGGAAATTCATTCATAAATTCATCAGCAACATATCAGTCCTTCCCTCGGGGCTTTATACATGCGAATTTATAGCAAGATGATTTTGCAAATTGTATATTACGTCATGGCCCGTCAATGACAGACACTGACTGCCAAAAATTTACTTGGGGCACATTGTAGTATGTTCGTACTTATTTCCTTGACCTACAGCCACAAGCCTTTGGTCTTTTAAGAGAATAATTATACCTATGCAAATACTCGTATCGTTACGATTCAATTTAAAGTCAATCAAAGTCCTTTGTAACTTGTATCAATCGTACCTTGAACTATTTTACGTGTATGCTGCTTGTATAACGTGTATACTGGCACCTGCGTCAACGTTGTGCTATTGATTACAGTAACTGTAAATGCAGCTAAATTGTTGAAAATTCTTTTTTTCCTATTGACTAATTGTACTAATTACGAAATATTATTAATGAGAAAATCTGCAGTGTCAATATTCTCGCTGACTGTCTCAAATCATTTTTACGTATAGTTACGTGTGCACAAAGACAATTATTGTTGGATTAAATATTTCTGATTATAATGTTATTATAAAATTATAACTATATATTCATTGACATACGTAATAGTAGAAAATATATTTTTATGATATATATTATTTTTATTCGATACAATGACAATATTGTACTGACTAATTTTGATCTGAGATATAGGATAAGGTGTAGCGGCATGATTTTCATTATACGATGCTTAATGAAACTAGTGGGCACAAAATTTCGTTAGTTATGTTACAGTGTCAGACGTAATCGCAAATACCGAGTTGTGGCCGCACAACGCGACGGAAGATTGCAACACGAATGTTATTGTTGAACTATAGGTAGATTTTGTTCTTAACGACTTTTTGTTTCCGTATTTGCCTTCGGGCGATTATAGGAACGATATCATAAATCAAATTTATTAGAGTACACGAACAATGTTTAATGTTAAAAATTGGCGGTGGATTTAAAAAATGTATTTTATTGGTCCTTAGTTGCATATAGAATATAGAGATTTTTTTGTTTGTTTTTTATGAAATTTCATATCATAGATATGGCGTATAATTACACCAAAGATAACGAGCTCCACTTTGCCAATATCTGCACTTTTTTTTTTATTATCTTTTATTGGTCTTTTTTTTTGGCACGACATTCGTACGATACGTTAGATGTGTATGTGGTTGATGGTAAAAGTTGTTCAACTATTTTTAGATTTAAACAAATTTTTTTTATGTTCCAAAGTAATACCATGTATATAGCATGGAGACTATAGCATAATATTGTGCACTTACATACTGCGTTTTGGTCGAGATATTATTGTTTTCGTTATTAAAAAAATGTGAAAGACTCATTTTTAGGGTGAAGCAACCGAATGATTTATCGGAGGCTAAAAATTTGAAACTTTCTTGCTACTGGTGTTATGGAATAGGGGAAGAAGATGGTGACGCGTTAAATATTGAGATCACAAAAAAGGTTTGCAATTTACAATGCAACGTTAATTTATCAACAGTCTCGTAACATGAACCGATGTTCAGTGTAAGTAGTCAAAGAGTTTTATAGGGCGTCATTGTAAGTTATCAGAGCTGACAGCCAGTACCTTCAACTTGCGTAACGTTACGTTCATTAATCTTCGTCTTATGGATATATTCATTATACCAAATTTTGAAGATCCGCGTAGATACAGCTAAGGTGTTTTGTCAAATTTCCAACAAAATTTATGAGAGCAATCTTTGGAGCTATGGTATGCGTATTAACATTGTCGAACAAATTTGCAGAGAACGCAGGAAAGGAGACTGTTAACGAATAAAAATTGGTGACAATTTTTAAATTATCTTTGCGCAATTTCCGAGTCCAGGTATATCAAAAAAATTATTTTTGCTAATATAACAGCGCACGTTTCAAAGTGTACTCGGTGTGCAAATTTACGTTCTTATTTTTTTGCACGTATCTCAATGTCTACTTTAAAAAAGATTTGCTACGCCGGTGAAATATGCAAATATTATTTGCATCAATTTCGAAACGTTCAAGAAATCATGTAGCCCCCTTCACTGTCGTCTGGTAGATTTCGATTCGAAAGGACTTTTTTTTCGCGACTCACTGGCCACATTAAGTTCACGATCTCGATATTCCCTTTCGCGGATTATCGTCTCGTCATTTGTCAGCTTTAATTGCAGCAGCGTTGTGGAGCGATAATCGTGCTGATTATGTATCGGATAAAGTTCTTAAAATTGATGAGTGCATTTGAGACTTAATCGTCTTATGCAGTTTAAAAAGTCGTTGAATTTAGGCATAATAATCCTATCACCGATAAAATCGTTGAAAAGTGAATAAAAAAATATTTAATAAATTTTTTTTTCCAAAATTTTTGTCCCTCAAAATTTAGAAGATTTCTTACTGACGTAATAAATGTATAAACAGTAGACGTGCATGATTGAGAGAGTCGTAAGCATTTGCTTTGCAAATTGGAACTACTTGCATTCGTTACAGTGTCAGACAAGCTTTGTCATATTGACTGTATAAAATATAAGTATTATATAACCCATACGTTACGTATCGATTAAACTAAATATTTTAATTGAAAACTGGTTTAACGAATTTAGAGTAGCTACTCCGATATGAATCTAATCATTAAACAATAGAAAAATCATTAGAAATAACCACGAGTAGAAATTCTATCAAAAATGCGTATGACTTCTCGACTATGCACCCACAGTGCTATTCAAGGCAATCTGGAAGTGAACTCTCCCCAAAAAGCAATGATGTTCGACAACGACAACAGTATGATGGGTGGGGTCATCATCGTGCCAGTTTGGGAGTGACAATCATATAAAAGAGAAAAAGTCCTCCTGGTCTTCATATCCAGATCGTCCGCCTAAGTAGAGACATTTGAGAAACCATGATTTCGATGGTAAGTTTTGTTAAATTGACGTACCAATAAAAAAATTAATTCAACTAATTATATAACTAAGGTCCAATTAAAATACCCTGTTGATTTCCACAGATAGATCAGTCAATAAAAACTGAACTAATCAAATAAACTTTATTTCTGTCACAGTTCATAATATTGGCTACAGTGGTGGCTATCTCTCAAGCTGGCGTGATAAGTCCCAACATCGGTCCCGTAACCTACTCATCCATCCCTGCTGCACCCTACTCAAGTCTTTCCACACCCATAATAAAGTCCAGCTATGCATCTCCTTATAGGTACCCAGTAACTCCAGCTGTCGCCACCTACTCCTCTGCACCAGCTGTATCCTACTCATCCGTTTCAGCACCCGTAAAAGGGTACTCCAGTCCTTATTCCAGTTCAGCCTTAAGTTACACTACCAAATACGCCGGCCCTTATACCTATTCGATTTCACCCCTGAGTTACGTTGCCGCCAACTATCACGGCTCAGGAATTGCTGCCTACTCGTCCGCTCCGGCCGTGTCCTATTCTACTGTGTCTGCTCCAGCAGTGAAAACCAGCTATGCCAGTCCTCACACATACGTCAGTTCACCGGTTGCCTACTCTACAAAAATTGGCAATCCAGCTGTTGTCGCTTACGCTACTGGACCAGCCGTATCGTACTCCAGCGTGCCGTCTACTGTTTTTAAAACTGGATACTCCAGTCCCTACAGCAGTTACGGCAGTGTACCGCTTTCCTATGCTACCAAGACGACGTATGCTGCTCCGGCTGTTGCTGCATATTCTTCAGCTTCTCCTTTGACCTACTCATCACTCTCTACGCCTTTGGTAAGGAGTGCACACACTGTGCCAAGACTTGGATATAATGTGGCCTCTGCTGCTGCACCCTTGACGTATTCCGGACACACTACTTTCAGTGGGCTGGGTACCAGCTACGCTTGGTAAAACTTCACTGGTATTATCTTGACAGTTTCTAAACAGCGGAGAGAACGGAAGATTAAAAGGGCTCAGGATGATGGAGTGTATCGCTGGTATGGTTCGATAATAAGTCTGAGATTCTGTGTCAAGAATTTTTTTTTTTTGTTAATATATATGCTTTTGGGTTAGTGTGAGGATTTTTTTATTGAAATAAATAAAGGTGTCTAATTATAACTAGTGTGACTTTTAGTCTAATTCGATTGGGTCTGATATACTTGTTTGAAAATAATTTTAAAAATATTGTTTTATTTGGATATTTTAATTATCGGTGATAATTTAAATGGAAAAAAAGATTTTGGGGCATTCGTTATTATTTAACGTGAAAACTCGTACAGTTTTATTCATATCATTGTATATAATTTGATAACAGTAACAAAGTATATTGAACACTTCGTTGACGTAATCAATTCAGTATTGTCAAATCTAATAGTTAAGAATACTGCTAATATAAATACAAAGCGTGGATTATATAATTATTATGGACCAACATAAGATCGGATATGAAAAATGATATCAGTCAAAAATGTCCATTACTACCTGATCTTATAATGGTGCTCTCAAAGATCTCGAACGTCACATTAATTTCTTGGCGGATCTTCGCTTTCTATGTACACGGTTCATTAAATTTTAACTTCAATCGTTAATCATTCTGATTAAAAATCAAATTTGTATCCGTTTCCATTAACTTTTACATGAGCGACAGAAGGTGCCGCCGAATAAGCAATACCGAGTAAATTCTGCTGCTGTTGTTGCTGTTGCTGCTCATGTTGTTGTTGCTGAAGTTGAACTTGTTCCGGTATCTGCATCAATATTTAAATCCAATTCATGTTAATTTTTACCATTTTCAATTACTCTATATTCCAACTCATTGATTTTTCTTCACCTGATTAGCAGCTGCTTGATTTTGCCTGAAAGCAAAAAGTTGAGCAAGTTGCGCCTGATATGCTGCGGCAGCAGGGTTTTGTTGTTGTTGCTGATATTGTTGGAGCTGCTGAATTTGTTGAAGATACGCCAAAGCTGAGGCCTGGTCATAAGGCGCCTGATAAGAACCAGCTACCGGAGCTGTTGCTGGTGCGGCTGCATAAGTAGTACCGACAGGACCAGCAGGGATGTATCCTGGAAAAGGAAAACCTTATATATAACGTATGCACGACTGACGACGTCTGATCTCAAAATCCATCATAGCGAGACGTATACCTAAACCAGGGTTTCGGTAAGCAAGAGCGTGAGCTACATTAGGCAATACTCTTTGGGCTAAATGCGGATTTCCAATGCTGGAACTGAAAGCTTGATGAGAACTAGGACCGTTGAATGCGTACGACGTTTGAGTTAGACCTGGTCGAACGAAACTGAATGATGCATGTTGCTCCGGGCCACCCAGTACATTTGAGGGCCTAATACCATGTACCGGTGGCTCTGCCAAAACCAGCTGGCATAAGACGATACAAATAAGAATGTGTTTCTGTAAAGAAAAATTTTATAAATTATTCCGATTTAGGTAACATGGCATAAAAAATTATAACGCACTAGCTGGAAAATCTTTGAGGTACACAAAGCTTTCGTTCCTTTGAAAATTAAATTTCAACTAAACGTACATTCGTACACTTCAATTATTTTATCCCTGTTATTTTGAGCGTGACAAAATTTTACAAAGTTTTTAGCATTCCTCTAACAAAGAAACCCCCTTTACTTTCTTAGAATAATAGCCGAACAGGCAACAAATGACTTTGTTTTATTCGTGCTTTCTACACGAGTTGCGAGAGTACTTGGAAAATTGGTAAAAAGTTTCATTACGTATTTTCAATGTAGTAACTGAATTACATATAAATCTTTTAAATTCTCCAGGTTCCTTCTTACAAGGAAACTCCCCCAACCGAAAATCGTTTTTTTATCATATCTCGACGTCTAATTAATATTTTTTAATAAAACCAAGTGGAAAATATTTGTCATAAGAAGTCGAAGATATGAGGTGTGTTTATGACCCAATTCTTTATTTTTTTGAGCCCATACCCCGGTTTTTATGCAGAAAAAAGCATAAAAAATATAGTTTTTTCAAAATATAAAATAAGGGTTGCAACCCCTTGGGTCGTAAACACACCTCATATCTTCGACTTCTTATGACAAATATTTTCCACTTGGTTTTATTAAAAAATATTAATTAGACGTCGAGATATGATAAAAAAACGATTTTCGGTTGGGGGAGTTTCCTTGTAAGAAGGAACCTGGAGAATTTAAAAGATTTATATGTAATTCAGTTACTACATTGAAAATACGTAATGAAACTTTTTACCAATTTTCCAAGTACTCTCGCAACTCGTGTAGAAAGCACGAATAAAACAAAGTCATTTGTTGCCTGTTCGGCTATTATTCTAAGAAAGTAAGTCGATAGGATACTTGCGCAAATAAAGGGAAACTTAAACCGGCGTCGATGCGATAAAAATGAAACACGTAAAACTTCTGTTTCAAACGAATGCTGCTGTAGCTCTCGTGCACATTACTTGTTATTAGACGCTACTTTGCTAATTGACTAATTCAAAGGAAAGCCAGTCGATTCCTTTTTACGTATATCTGCCGAGCCCTTTAATATACAGAATCTCTTTAAGATTCACTAATTAATTTAATTACATCACCCACCGAAGTAATCTCGAGCGATACGTTTAATTTTCACCAAGTTCAAGTTTCTGTGGCAAAATACAATTTATTTAATAATTTCACTTTACCATGCTATACTATAAAATATTGATATTTATAAATATAAATATTTTTTATATGAATTGACATTACAAACGCACAAATTGTAGCTTCGCACTATATCACACCAATCAAATCACTCACCAGCATCTTGCAAGCAGCACGCGCGAAATGAATCAATAAGATGTAGTATATAAAGAAAAGACTTGTCGCGGACTAAAATCAAGACGACAGTCCGGCTTCTGATACTCCTGTAGGGCGCTATATACCGCGGAAACGATCAATTCGATACGTGAGGTGCATCGCGTATGCGCCTTGTCGAGGAAGATACTTTCCCTCGGTATGAGCGAAGAATCCTAATCATTTAAATCGAAGAAAATCTTTGATTTCTTACGATGAAAAATATCTTCTATTATCGCTCGTGATAAGATCTACGAAATGAAGTCTGAAGCGTCTGTTCGTCAATAGTAGGATAAATGAAGTTGGATTTATGACTTTCTGAATATTTAATAATTTTATATTGCTCTCGCATAACGACGCCATTGTTGTCTATGATTCCAATATTTCTGTATTTATATATATGCTAATGTCGTTAAACCGCATGTAAAATTGTTCCTACGGTAAGGGAACGCAGTCAGCGATATTGTTACAAGAGCTGGCGTTGGTATTCGTTAATGTTATTCCTTCGTAAATCACCAGTAGTATTGTATATTCGTAAATGTCAATGAATTTCATTTATCGAAATTTACAATTTGATCGGATCGATGTTATAATAAAAAATAAGGATTTGCAAATCGTCGAGAGGACCATTTTGGTAGTGACCTGGATCGTTTGCAAATGTAATTAGCAATGAAAGCTACTTTCCGTATTCCTAATGTGGAAGCCGGATCGCCTTCTAGCTATTAATTGTAATCCAAACGATTCACCTGGAATATCAATGAACTTTTCTCGTCTTGGGAACGTGATCGGTAGTGACGTCAGGGTACGGTCGATAAGTGATACGAGGAAGAAAAAGCTTTGAGACTGTAGAAAGGTGACAGTCAATTTATCTATACGTGATTTGAATACTTCGCCACGTGCTTTGGAGTTTGGTAATGTTATAAATTAAAGGGAATTTGAATAACAGAAAGATCACTCTACGTCATTATCGACAAGTCTTACTTTTAAAAAATGGAATTAGGTATCACAGGAAGTTTTCTAATTATTATTTTACATATTTCATCCGATTCCCATCACTTCCGCACAAACCTAACCATACGATACGTTGATCAACGTGGTAGGCGAGAAAAATACTAAAATCCTAAAAAAATGTGTAATCGTCAGTTCTATACAAGTTTCATTCCCTGAACAAATTAAATTTAATGTAATTCGACACGGTTCACTTCATATCTTTGTATTTTAATTAACGTAACGGACAAGTGTTTCACATGCCAGGTTAATTTGCGATGGGTTCAAAGGATTTTGTGAATGATAAAGTGTAGAGCACGAAATACCATTTGCCTTGCAAATTTTAAATCACCCTTTTGAAATGGTCCAAACGAGACATCTGAGATGGAATTTGTTATCATGAACATCAACTTATCAATTATCTACGCTCTTAATCACAGCTTAAAAATTCGGCTCGTTTGCCAGTACCAACAGTTTTTGTATTCTTTGAAGGCACACTTTGTAGATACTATTCTGTCTGATCGTTCATAAGTTAAGCTTCTATCAAAAGACTCCGTCAATCTTCCTCCTTACAACTTCCAGTTTTCCGATAATGCACAGTCTTGATAACGACAATGGCAATATTATCACAAAATAGGTGTATGACAGTCTATATGTCCCTAAATACCTTTATGTCTATATTATTACTCCTAAAATAAAAGAAGGTCAATATTTTTAATTTTTCAATGGCAATTAAATTTTGTCATTTACAATTGAATTTTATTCGTTTCATTTGGGACATTAAATATTAATAATAATACGTGCATGATTAATTACCATGAGTAGTCATTGGGTCTGAAAAGCTGTCTTGATTGAAATCAATTGACGACATCACAATTTCTGCAAGCTTGGCTTTAAGATTTTACTATCAACCAGGGACGTGATTAATCTCATCGACTGTCAGCTGATTCCAATTATTATTAATGTCTTTTAGTTTTTTGACTTGCGGACAATATTTACATAGCACCTTAATAAACTTCGTGGACCATATGGTTCTCATAAATCAGCAGCATCGATTATTCGATGGTGATGAAAATTCTGTGGGTATAATATACGGAACGAAAAATGTTGTAACAATGCCAAAATACAGATATATGTATACATATATATGTTTATAGAATCTTCATGTTCAATATAGTATGCATTTTGAATAACAAAAATATATTGTCCGATGTTACCAGTAATATTCTTTTTGTACATTTGACAAGATTTTTTCTCAATAAATATATTTTCAATATCTTTTGGCTTCGTCAAAAGAAATGATCGTCCCTTAACAATTACGCATTCAATATACGTTCCGCGAAAACGAAGAAAGGAGGAAGTGCCATGCAGCGAAGCAGAATCAGATGATCAAAGGTTCGCGTTGTTGACTTTCAGTATTGTCCTCTTTAATGGTAGATCTAAAAGTTCTGCCGTTGAGAAAAAGATCAAGGGTGCATAGATTATGTAAGATCATTTGTGTACAGGTCCAGAAAGCTTTTTACTTCATTACTCGTTTCAATGACTGTAAACCATGATTCTCGTGCGACCTTTATAATAGTGAACAAAAAGAAAGTCCTACATACCCAGTAAAGGAAAGAAAAAAAAACGAGAAAAATTCAATTCTGGTAGAAAAATCATGAGAAAGGGATAATGGTTTCTTAAGAGAGCTTATCTTTATTATATTATACAGATATAAATGCCATATCTTAATCGTATTTCTCATTAAGTTACCAGGGGAATAATTATACAGTCATCACGTCTTAGCATGCCTCCTTTGTAACTAACCTGTCACAGTAATGGTGTTTCAGTAATTTTGCATCCCTGGAAGCTGGGTGTTTTTGGCATTGAAAAAAAATAAGTCCCCATATCACCATTTCATTTTCCAACCCCAAAGGCAACCTTTCACACCCTGTGGCGTGCAAAATAATATGTCCTCTGGGAGAATTACAGTGAGGGTCATTCCCATCTACACTCCGGTAAGCCAGAAGCAAAGGACCCTTTCGGGGAACACGTTGGTAAGACAGATTCTCACTAGGTTCTGGAGTTCAGACGGAATATTTGTGCAATTTTCAAAAGATACAACTAATCTTCTTTTTAAGTTAAAATAGAATATTGCTCTTTGGTGCTTTGGATGTGATAGGCAAGGGAATTAGAGAAACGATAGGGGACAGCGAAAGGGTAGATCTCCAAATGACTGATGCCCAATATTCTCTCTTCATGCTCGATTTTGCACACCCTGTATACAGTTGGGGTGCGAAATGGAATGAGAAAGTGAGTCAAAGCAGCGGGTGATAAACGACACACCCTACCCGGCTTAGGAATCGTAGAAATGTTATTATTAAGCCACTCTTAGGATTGGTAAGATTCGTGTGAGATCTCGGAGTATATACAGGGTTATTCATGGCGAACGCATCAGCTGAAATTGGCCGTGTCATTTCATGAATTAGAGCTGGGTGGTATTATTAAATAAATGAAAGTTGACGTCATTCATAATATTTCTAAGATCGTGAATGTCATATTCTTCCATTTGTTTAACAAGGCCACACTGTCTCGATTAACAGAGTTTTTCAATCGCGTCCAACTTCAGCTGGGCGTTTGGCATGAATAACCCTGTATATACTCCAAACTGTCACACGAATCTTACCAATGTTTAGAGTGTATCGGCTAAGTTGTACGTTTGCGATTTGCGGTGAAACGGTGTACGATTTTCAAAATATGATGTGTCAATCAATGAATATTTTTTTATTGTTCTTCGATTTTGCATATTAATATTGTTCGTTTAAAATCCGTTCGCGAATATAATATACATATAATAAAATATCTTTGCCATTTCAGATGATAACGAAAAAAGTTAAATGCAAAAGTCACAGACCACGAAAAACGAATAGTGTAAAAAAAGTTCGTACGGATAGCATACATAATAAGGAAAATATTTCCGTTCGAAATTTGGTAACTTTTTGAAAAATTTAACTTTAACTTCGTGCAGCAGTTTTACGCCGAACATACGATTCGCGATTGTTTTGAGATGCGCGTCCAGTCAGACGCAAAGTCGTACACGGCGGCTAAAACGTATTGCAGTGCTAATTTTTAAATTAGAAGTTAAAAGACTACATATCCATTATAGAATCTACGTATTCCTCGTCATAGATTTTGAAGCTTAAGGGAGTCTTTGGAATTTGGAATGTTTCTGGTTTTCCGGATTTCCAACCCTAGCGGAATTTTCCGAATTCGAAGGCCACTAGCGGAATTTCCTGCAACTATCGTAGGCACTTAAGAGGGCCATCTGGTGGAATTTCCCTGAATTAAATAAAAATATTTCCTATGAAATTCTCGATGTAGGTCCCCTGGTGAAATTTTCCGAAATTCTCTAAGGTACAGCGCCGTCTAGTGGCATTTTCCCTCATGCGGATTTGACATTTCGGGACGTGTATTTTCGTGAGAAACCATTTTGGTTAGTTCCGAAAAACTCTACTAGATAGCGCTATGAACCATCTACCATAGCTCCGGATAATTATTCTAAGAGCTGTAGAATTCGGAAAATTTTGCTAGAGCCAGAAAGCATAAGGCTTCTAAAGCTGCTAAGCCTGCAAAGGCTACGACAAGGAATACTCCATATCCCAACGAATCCCATATACTTCCCTGCAAAATCATAAAGTATGTACTGTGACATGATTTTTCGAATCACGGTCCCAAGGCGGCTCCGGTTACCGATACAGATAACGTTCTCGATTTCTGGTTCCCTTCGGGTCGCCACCCTGCTCAGAAGCTACGCTCTCGGGTTGATTCGTACAGTTATGTCAAGGCTCTCGTAAGATTTCGTTATTGTTCAGTTGAGGTCGAGGTGCTCGAATCTGCCGTGGGGAGATAGTCTCGACGTACCGAGTTGCCCGGCAGAGGAGAGTACCCGACGGAGACGTCTCCACGGACCGGCAGACGCCCGGGTGAAACACCGGCGCCCCGCTGGAGATGGGCAAAGGGCTGTAGAGCGGGCGGAGGTAGTTTTGATA